AAAGGCGTCGTGGCCCGGACCACCTGCCTCGCCAAGCCCGTGCCAAACAAGCCCCTGCCACAGCCACAGAAGCGGTAGACAAGGAAAGCCACCAGGATAGCCTCAGATCACATCCCCACTCAATGGCCACACGAAAGAACAAGCCGGCCATCGTGAAAGAGCCTCAACGTTCTGAACCTGACTTGGAACACGCAACTGGCACTGTAATTTCGGTCGAGAAAGTAGAAGCTCAAGCCAGGGAAAAATCACCAAGGGGGGGCAATTGGCAGTCAATCAGTCGACGGTCGATGCCAAAAGTCAACTGAATGTGTTTTTCCCCGAGCTCTTCCCCAAGAAAATTTGTGATTTACAAGTTGATTTGCATAGAGCGTTTCTGATGGTAAGCACGTTGATGTTTCTTTATACGCCAACCATAATGTCATTTTCATCACCAATCAGGAGAAACACGAACCAGCTGCCACCCCAAAACTGACCCGAACTGACACATTTCGCCCGTTGCAGCCCTGGATCAGCTGCCACTTGAGGACGTTCCTCTTTGAAGTCTCTCAGCAAGAAGCCGCCCACGAGAGCCACTGCTTTGGCATCGTTGCACCAAGCCACTTGCTTCACAACCTGCGCGTTTGTGAGATGGAGCTTGCGTTTGGCAAGCCTTTAGCAAATGCCATTCACGCACCCTCCGGTCAATGCTACAAGTCCTTTCCAATAAAATTTCCAGGGCTCTTGCCCCAAAACCTTTGCCTATCAAAATGGTCACGTAACGTTATTTATAAGTGGATGCCTCTGTGCAGGCACGGATGTCCAGCCAAAGCTTTTAGGATAAGCGTGTATATAGAAGTTTCTTTGCGCGTGTGCACACTGGCACGTATATGTAGCTAGGCATCCAAGCGTGCATGCATGTGAACCTATGTGAACCTATGTGCATAAGCATAGCAGATGGAGGTGCGTATGTCTCAGTTTCTTGCATCCATGTATGTATGTCTGTACGTACGTGTGAATATTGGTTTGTGTGTGTGTGTGTCAGCGTCTATGACTGTGGACGCTTATGATGTGTCTGTGTATGGGCATGAGTGTAAGTACGTGTAAGTGTACGTGTACGTGTGTGTGTATGTGTATGAGCGCGTATGTGCGCGCGTATGTGTGCAGTGTATGTGTGGCATGCGTGCGTACAAGCATGTGTACATGAGAGCATGTGTTATACATGAAGTGTCTGTGTGTGTACGGATGTATGTCTATCTGTTTGCGTGTTTGTTTGTTGGTTTGTTAGGGGCGGACGGACAGATCGCTGGGTCAAGTGATGGACGCCGAGAAGCCTCTAGAAGGTTCAGCTTCGAATTGCAGCGGCCGCTCTCAAGCCATCGATGCACGACATCATGCGGCCCACTCACAGGCGCAGGCATTTCGACTCATGGCGAAGCAGGCTGTTTTACGGTTCAGTGTATTTCATCTGCGAACATTGTATTTTCTAGCTAGCAATTAACTGCTATCCCATGGATGTTCCATTGTTCCTGTAGATGCGACGTTGAAGCCAAGACATGCTCGAATGCATTTTTGCTTACCACATCGGGGAGTGGCTCAAACATAGAGCGCAATCACTGTAATGTGGTTTTTTGCTGAGTCATACCCATCTAGGGTCGGAGTACTCTATAGCTATTTCGGCTTGGTTTGCCCTTCATTCATGCTGGCCAGTTTTTCCGTGAAGAGGCCATCGCTCTTGGGTTTTCAGGGTCCATGGGCCTCTTTCAGGGCGTAAGTTTGGCACGAGTTCAGCCCTTCCGGTGGTTGAGCAAAGATGAAGGCGAGTGGGTTTCAGAGCGGCCCAGTAGGGATGGGTCCCCAGCAGTGTCGCCAACTAGTCATTTAATTAGTCATGTATGTCCTACGGTCAAATCAATACTTCTTATGTAGGGCATGGTCCCCTTCCCATGATCACGGGTCCTCACCAGGGTTGTATAGAAAGCTCCATTGAAAGCGGATGACCATGCCTACTAGAGGGAACTCGCCCCAGTTTTGACCATAGTACACTATCGAGTTGATGTGGGATGGACATGTCTGGACTTGCCATTGTTTGGAATGTGGAACCCTGGACTCCGGACTACTTCCATGAAAAGAAGAAACCGGCGGACATTGCAGGATACTCTTCTGGGGCATCATTCTGTTGAGTGTTCCACCTGTGGCTGGTCGTTTGTTTTGAAACAAGTTGACGATGTATGTAACTGTATATTGATTGGGCTGCCTGTGGAAACTCAGGGAACAACATCGATGGCAAACCTGTATACAAAGAAGTATTGTTAAAAAAAGTGCCGCTGCAAGAGGTTTGCTCTGACCGCGAAAATGATCCACACAACGAAAAAAACATTTTGTTCTGGAACCGCACCACCTCAAAATATCTCAAAAACACACAGGTTGACCTCAAAGTGTCCTCAAGCATCATCACAAACAAATAATCTAGATACATGCAAGGTATAATATCCCCAAATCGCCTCTCGGGAGATGTCTTGAATCCTGGCCCCTGTTAATAGACCCTACCTAGAAGACCCTAAAACGTCGATACGTAAACCCAAGCACTTTCTTCAATGCAGGGACTACTAGAGGAAGGTTTGTTTCTTGGGTTGGTTCTGTAGTTTCTTTTGGATGCAACTATTGTATTGTGGCAAGCGTTTTTTTTTCTTCGACCTGCGTCGATTGATCACGGCGCGGCTTCGGCATCCGGTTTCCCATTGCCATTGTTGTGAAATCACCGCAACCTGCTTCAATGAAACAATTTGAACCGTGTCGTTCAACCACAACAGAGTGGGTGTGCATAGTGAATGGAGAGATGACTAAATATATATATATATATAGATTTACATAGTGACATTGTGTTTTCTGGCGTTGTTTCTCAAAGCGGCTTGGAGCCAGGTGGCTTCGATCCACAGGCTGCGTTGGGTTTCTGATGTTTGTGGCGTCTACGGTGTCAGGGCTGATTTTGATACGCGTGTTTGGTTGCAACATGCTTTGGACACAGTTCCCCAAAACGTTTGGGGACCTTTAGGTTGGCTACCTGCTGCAGTACAAATTTGAGACCATCTCGAGCAGAAAACCTGGGTTTTTGAGATGTTTTGAGATGGGCCAAAAGCCAGCCGCAACGGAAAGACCCCGGCACGGTCCGACGGTCCAAGGAGTGCCTCCTTGCCCGCCGGTAGCACTGAAGGGATTGGCAAACTGGTGCCCAGCAAGCGTGGCTTCAACCTGGGTGACCGCAACAAGCACTTGGGCATATAGGTGTGAATTATTTTGGGGTAATACCATGGCCCTGGCTGGGTAGACTGGTCTAGTTTCCGAACCTTCCAGGGGGTCGTTGCATGGGAGGTCTCCCTGTCTTTAATAAATACACATCATATTCTATACTATACTATTCTATCTATACCCATATAGAAATACACACACATATATATATATGGTCCCTGCGTTGAACAAAGTGTTTGGGTTTACGTATCGATGTTTTGGGGTCGTCTAGGTAGGGTCTGAGAACAGGGGCTGGGATTCAAGACATCTCCCGTGATGCGATTTGAGCATAGTTTGCCTTGCATGTATCTAGATTGTTGGTTTGTGGTGATGTTTGAGGACACTTTGAGGTCAACACGTGTGTTTTTGAGATATTTTGAGGTGGTGCTCTTCCAGAACATTGTTTTCGTTGCGTGGATCATTAAAATGCTTTTTCTGGTAGGTCTATATACATCCGAAAAAACGCGCCCTCTAGGCCTCCCCACCTCGTTGCGAAGAAGGATGAAAATGATGAAGGAGGCAGGCCGCGCGGCGGCCGCCAAGCAGCCGAAAAAACAGCCGGACAATCAAAAAATATTAAATATCCCAAAAGCCATCCCAGCAAGAAGCCCCGAAAACAGCAATGTCAAACACCTGCAAAACTGGGGGGGACACACTTTTGAACTCTACTTCATCTTCTGGGTAGCTGAGCACCTACACACAATAAGCAAGTGATCTTTTCCTGCACCAAAATATCTCTTACAAATCTCTTCACATCTGGGCCAGCCATCCTTCACAAGAGCGCATTTCTGTTCAACATGGTTGCCGTTTAGGTATCGTGTTGGTCATCATTCAAAGCCTGGACAATCTTGAGAAGATATGGTGGAAATTGACTACGAGCTTCAAGGTTGGTTGGCATATGTTTCTGTCAAGGTGGCATATGTTTGCAAGAAGGCCGGAAACATTGCGTCAAGGTTCGCATGCTACACTGTCTGTTCCACAATTCCATGGTGGTCCAAATGCTGTACTTGGTGTCACATCACATCACATGTGCTCATTCCAAGGTTATCGTTTTGGGAGTTTATATATCGTTCTGTCCAAGTGCATGTCTTCAGTCAACATGTGCTTCAATACTTACTACTCGGTTTGATGTGGAGTAGCCAGTTGCTCATGTGGTGACATCACCACGAAAAGCATGGGGAAAAGCCCGTGAGTGGCATCAATATCACCTGTGGAAAACAAACGCCTGCACGTGCCCCAAACATGAGGAACTTTCCCAAACCTCCACCTAGCGGGCTCTGAAAACGGTCTAACTTCCAACGTGGTTCCTATCTCTCAGCCAAATGTGATTTGGTCGATGGGCCAAAACCCCAAGAATTATAGAGGGTGTCAACTGGGGCCAACCGGTCCAAAAATGGACAAACTCACCTCTCTCACAAAAGGAAGACGTGTCTGCTGCGCCTTTTTGGGGTCCCCAAAGGGGAAACCAACTCAAGACCAATATCCAAGCTATAGAAAAATGCAGCTGCAATTCTCTTGACCTCTTCATCTGGGGTCCTTGGCCTCTTGGCCTCAAAAGGCTGAAAATTCGTGTTCTGAAGATTCTCAAGCATGAGTGCCCCCTGAATCATTGGAGGAAAAATGGAATCTGAAGACCATGCGTGCCATCCAATTCTTCAGGTTCTTGCCCTCTCTACTTTTTTCAGAGATCCCTTTGGTAAACTCCGTCACTCCGTCAAACCTCCCAATTCCCCGGCCTTGCGGTCCATAGAGCTCAAGATCGCCAACGCTCGAGTCCACTCGGAGATCGCACTGAGGACCTCCACACACCGTCGGCAGACTGTCGGTGCGGATGGCAGACCGTCAGACCGTCAGGTGGGTTTGTCCACCTGTGAAAAAAAGGTTTCGACAGCGAAACTGCGTTTCGAACACCTACACAGACACCTCTGTGACTAAGCCTGGGCTTTGGTCCTTTGGTTGAAGATTGAGAATGGAAGGATTCGGAGGTTGGCGTCACGACTCAACCTGGACCCAGGCGACCGAGTTGAAGGCGATCTCATTCGGCTTCAGTTTGGCCAAACGTATCGCCTCGGCCGCGGGTTTGATCACGGAAGTGTGTGGTTTGATCACCACGGAAGTGCATGCTATAAGTTGGATTGCTTCCATATCCATCCCCAGTTGGCCAACTCACTTGGGAACCCAACGACAGCTGGGCGTGAGAAGAATCCTGAGTGTTTTGGGGGTGTTCCTGAGGTCTAGGTTGTATTGACATGTATTGACAATTAGGCCTAAGTCATCCTATATGCAACCCCATGAAGTGTTTCATTACACGGAATACACACACCATTGGACAGCCAAAGGGTTCTTTTGTATCAGTCTGCAGGCTGAAGAATACACACTTAGGATGAGATCCCATTGAAATTTCCTCAATGTGAAGGTGAAGCGAACAGAATCTTCCGATGACTGCTGGCAGGCTGAATGCAGCGTTGCAATATGTAGTGGTGTATCGTGCTTTCAGGTCTTGCTTCCGACAAGTAGCGTTGAGAAGAGCCAAGGCATACTGCCAAGATCCTGAGTTACAGGCTAGAGATTGGCGTGGAATCTGAACTTGATCATCGCCTCAACAAAGGTGTATTGTTGCATGCCACAGTGGTGTGCACAAATACATACAAGTACAAATAAGTATATCTGCAGGCTGGAGACTTATGACATCTTCGGCCAGACATCTTTCCGTCTCCCCCTAGGCCTTCCTTCACCCCAAGCGCTCTCGTGGTTAGATGTGTGTCTCAAAAATGATCAAAAATGCAACCCTCGTGTTCGCGAGAACTCCAGCTATTTGTTGTCATGTCGCATTGGAAAATTCCATGAGTTGGCAAGCAGTTTGGGGGCAAACGAAAGGTCTTGAAAAACCATCTCACAAGAATTCCTGGGCCTATTCCATAGCCATATTCCATAAAGACCCACAACGCATCGCTCTCCTCACCCGCAACACGCTGTGGGAACAGCGTCGTCCCGTGGCACACGCCGCGATGGCGCTGCTGTAGGTGATGAGATCAGCCAGTCGGCGCTCCTGGTGATGGGTATCAATCGGTCAAACAAGGTGCACCTCTTGACATCTTTGCATCGGCTGAGGGAACTGACTCTTTAAAAGATCCGCAAACACAGTCAGTGAAGCGAACTTTCCACCGGTTCTTTTGGAGTGGGGAAACCAATCCTTAAAATGGTTAAAGGCCATCCACTCACTGGGTAGGCGAATGTGTGATCGCACGGCCAAGCTGATGCTCTTTTTGACAGGACGAGGACACACAGAGCCTCTTTATGATTGAAATTGAATAAGGGAACTTTGAAACGACTGGCCTACTCACTTCCACACCCAGCACAAAATGCATTTCACTACTTCACTATGTAGAAGGCCGCATCTGTTAAGGCTTCCCGCTGTCTCTCACAACAGAGCCTCATCACCGTCTCATCACCGTCTCATCACCGTCTCATCACCGTCTCATCACCTACTGACCTACCCAGGTCGTCTCCTTCCCAAGGGCCTCCCTCTCCCCGCCTTCCACGCACGCCTTTCCCGCTCTCCTCCGCCTGCTCCAAGAGGCGGATGGCTTGGCGCCACGGACGACCCGAACGGCAGGACGCGCTCAGCGCGCGGTTGAAGACGACGGCATTCCTCGGGCGCCGTGGTAAAACGCCAAGGGCCCGGGTGACGCGTGGCGTTTGCGGACCGCGCGTGGCTTCGCACATTTGGAGTGATGGGGTGGGCAAAAAATACTCGAAGCACTCCTGTAAAGCCTTGAAAACGATGCGGTTATTAAAGGACTGATGTGGTACCCAAACTTACTTGCAGATTAAGAACAGATCGCTGGCTTGGGACTGTGAGCCGAGGTGGTGGGCTTACGAAGCCACCATCGAACAGCAATGAATCGATGGTCACCTGTGCGGGATCTTCAGAAGATCTCAAATGGCCAATTTGAAACTCCATTTCAGATGGGCACCTGGGGATGTCACCACCCAGTCGACAAGGATTCCAAGCTCAGATGGCCAAGAGCTCGGAAACCTTCGAGACTGAAAAAAACCATGCGCCTAAACCCTTTCGGCGTTGCGTCCGACATGGGTGAGTCCAAACTGCTCCAAGCTCTAAGCCCCAATTGCAGTAAAATTACGGTACTCTAAACTCTAAACTTGCACAAATAAGCTCTCTGCCAACCCGCCCTTGTGGGTGTTGCCACAGAGCTCCAAAGCGCAAAACAAGCTCCTTCCCAAAGCGGAGCCCAACCCACCCCAACTTCTGTTGAGCTTCGGCTTCACAGAGATCTGCAACATCCGCCTGAAGAAGAATTCTTGGAGACGGCCGTCCCATTCCCAAAAAGGATATGCAGAAAGGTTCCGCTGCGTGATGTCCACCGTTAAAGTCGACTTGAGAGAGGAGGGGGTGAACGAAAGGTAGCAGGCAATCACAAGTAACCCTGGTAGAAGTCCACGACGGCGTGAACCGGCGCAGGGGGGATTTGATCCAGGGGGGGGGGGCCCCCCCCCGACGAACAGAATCAACTCTTACAGGACCAAATTCAATGCACAATCCCAGCTCCTGATTGTAATACATGTTTGCTAAAGCAAGGAGAACTCAGGTAGCTCAAGCTACCTTTCGTGACATGGAACGAAAACTACATCGTAGCAGTAGCAGTAGCAGTAGTAGCAGTAGGAGCAGTAGGAGTACGTAGGAGTAGTACTGGTAGCACTAGTAGTACTAGTACTAGTAATCGTCGTCGTAGTAGGCGGAGGAGGAGGAGGGGGAGGAGGAGGAGGAGCGGCCAGCAGCGGCAGAACAAGACGCTGTAGCCCCATGTTCCTTTCATTTGGCCAACTTGTAAGGGTTCACCAACACTAACGAATTGCTCCCCTAGCCTCTGCAAAGCCCGCGACAGGTGAAGCGTGTACAGACTAAACCTTAATCAATAAACGGCCTGGCCAATACACGGTGGCTTGGCGGAAGGACCCACAATCTCCATTCTGGCCCCATGATTAGGAATGAGCCACTGTGGACTATTGGTGCATTGGAGTTTCCAAAAAGTACAGTAGTGGCCTCCACCCCAAGAAACACCAAGTAGATACACAAGTGAATCCATCGTAAGTCTTGGATATGTTGAAACCATCCCGGTTCAACCCAAGCAGCCCAAAGCAGCTCAACATTCCTACATCAACTTTGGCTCTCGCTTTATGGCTTTATGGCTTCAAGAAGTCAAGACTTCCCGGGACTCCCGTGGTATCCCGTGGTCCAAACCCAGGTTGCCCGGTTGACCTCCTGGTAGGTTGACTTGACCTTAGGAGTCAAAAAACAGTTCTGGTCCGTCAACCAGGGTCCTGCGGTGCCGGCCTCGGATCCCCAAAAGCTTCCCTCGGGTCCCGCCGAGATGCCCCAGGATGCCTGCAGCGTGCTGCCACGCGTCCGTCTGGGAGGCTCCGAAGGAGATCACGTCTGGCAGCAAGAGGGAGACCTGCGGAAGCTGAGGGAGGGGAAGACGAGGAAGAGGAGGGGAATCTGAGGGGAAGATGCACACCCCAACAATTCCCAAACAGAATGAATACATATGAGCCCCGATCTCCACCCATGGGTATGCGAAAATTGACAACATGTAACGCTCGGTTAACTTGAGGCCGAGGGAGGTGACGAAAGCTAGCAGGGATGCATCCGTGTCAGTGGAGGCGAAGCATACAGCGCCGTCCAGTGACAAAGGATTGGTGGGACATCAAGGGGAGTGAGGCAAATTTTTTTTCATAGGCATGGGGCTGTTGGAGGGATGGTTCACAAGGTCTCGCTCATGAGGTAAAACGTTGTGAACATGTAAGACACACGAACAGCAATGACACAGCCAACCTTAGCTTGTGAATCTGTTGAATCTGTTGCATCGTATCCCAAAACCTCCACGGAGGAGTTGAACCAAAGTGGATGCCATAAGAGGTGTCCAAGAGGTGTCCCAGAGGCGTCCCAGGGGGAAGTTGAACCACTACATGAAGTTTTCACGTGATGCGGCGATCTCGAGGATTCCAGCCCCTCACTTGCTAAAGCAAGGACAACTCCAGCTAGCTAACATGGCGACTGAAGGTAATAAATTTGTGCGTTAGCCCAACCCTGCCCAGTGGATATGGAGAAGAGTTCAGTGTTTTGCATAGGAAATGGGACCATGGTATCCCGTGGTGCAGGAATGGGTCTATCAAACCAGAGTATATAGACGTAATTATTGTCACTACGCTCATGCAAGGTCAAGGAATAGAACGGCATCATTCAGAGGCATGCATAGAGTCATAGAGTATCACTCAAATGGAGAGAGGGTCAGGGCCAGTGAAACAGCAATCTTTTTGAATTCAACAAAAGTGATTGGACCATCATCGAGTGTCATCTATCCATGCCCCCTCTAAATCCATGGGCACTTGCTGACACTTCGTTCGGTCCAAATTGAGGACTGGACACTGAAAAGACCGCTGAGAGATGATGCGATAGGCCGCGCAAAATTGCATGGTGCAACCTGTCAAATTTAAAAGACTTCGGGTGTGGTTGCGACAGGTTGGCCAGAAAGCAAGGTTCTGCTAACTTTTGTTGGCTCGCAGTGGGGTTGATCTAAAGCTGCAAGCCAGCTCAAATCAAGTGCTTTTGACCAGCAGCTACGTGTTGTTGTGATTGTTGCTATTGTTGTCCCAAATACCTTGTTTCACACTGACCATCTACAATACATGTCACTAAGAGATCCATAATGTTGCACCCTCTCTTCGTCCTTTTTGCAAAAAGGCACGCACATGGCCTGGTGGTGATCCCCCCTCCTCCGTCCGGTGGGCTCGGTGCTTTCGGTCCGGTGAGACCGGTCTCAGCGGACCGAAGTTCCCTGGATCCAACTCTGAGTGTGTTTTCCTTTGGTTTTCCTGTTCCAGAAACCCTTTGGCAAAGGTTTGCCTCGTTTTTGAGGCATACTACGCTTATATATATATATATATCCGTCTATCCCATATGTTGTTTAACGGACTGTATACATGTGCGTTCGTTCTGTGCTGCGACTGACTTGCTGTTGATGGTCGACAATTGTCTGAGTTAACACTACCCCAAATAGGTGAACAAGTGAACCAAAATGGACTATCCATGCTTCCCACGTTTTGTAGGGCTGGCTGCACTCCATCGGCTTCACCGCGCGCCTGAGCCTTTACCAAGAGCTCCATGGCACGAGGCCATGTGCCAACCGCCGCCAGGACACCTGGACGTGACCGATGAAACCGCGTGCCACGGAACGCGCAGCCGCTGCGGACCCACTGTGCGGCAGAAGTGGTCGGCCGAGTTTTGTGGCAGAAGCGGGTTGCGGTTTTGTGGCAGGAAGGCACGGGTTTTGTGGAGAAACAGAATATATATATATATATATTATTATATATATATATATATATATCCACAAAACTCCCAAGGGCATAGAGCTGCAAAAAAGCCTTAGTGATGTACAGAAATACCATGAACGAACATGAAGCAAGCGCCCTTACAGGTTTTCACACAGGCCTAAGAGGGCCTAAGCTCCTCTCAAGTCGCTCTGTTGATAAATCCCCAAAGGATCTGCGAGTTCAGTGTGATCCTGAAAATCCGAATTCGAACCCATGGCTCTCATTCCGAGCGCCTCGACAGACCAGATTGGACAAGTAGCTGTTGTAGCTAATGAGGTTGGGCTCCACCACTCTGCTTGGCATGCTGCGCAGCATCTGTAAGGCGCGATGCCATTGTCCGCCTTGAAGGAGTCACATTGGGAGGAATTAGACCATGTACTTGGGCGGTTAGATCCGTTACTCCCCTGCAGAGGACCACATGGAACCCCAAAACCACTGGGTTGTAGAGGAAATGGGCAAAACCCACGGTCAATTCTCAGGTTCCACGTTAGTTTGCCGGAGAGTAGTGTCCAACACACAGAGAGACATGGCCTATCAAGATCTTCATTGGTGCGAGCAAGCGATAAAGAGCAAGAAGTTCTCCTCCCAAAGCAAAAGGAAAGTGGTTAATTATAGAAGAAGCGCGTTGCTAATTGTGTAGAGGCACAACAAGGCAGGAGAAAAACACTTTCTGAATGCAAGTGAGTGCCATGAACAACCTTACGTTGGCGTTGAGCTTCCAGTTTGGAGAACTGGGGGATTCCGAACGCATGCATGTGACCTGACCACATGTGTGGCAAACAAGTGCTTCGCCTCAAAGCACCCAAAAAGTTCGAAACAACAACCGGAACGATCCCTGGAGCAACACCCTGTCTGTTCCATTTTGCTCAAGAAAAAGGACAAAACCGGCGTTCGCGCGGCGAACCGTGGTTGACCCAGCGACAGTACGTGTGTCCGTTCCATCCCAAAAAAGAACGGATGAACGCCCTCAAACAGCGGCCGCCTCGATCGAAGGCGCAGAAGGTGGAGCCATAAGTGATGAGATCCGGTTGGAGGTGGAGCTGTTTGGGAGCAGAAAGAAGATCCTCAGCGAAGCCAGCGAAGCAATCCAGATGGGCTTCAGACCGATTTCTCCAACTTCACAGCGCAAGATTTACTGGTCGGATGGGATCGAAAAGTGAAACTGCAAAACGAATGAAACCAGTGGACTAGGTGGTGAATCTGTGTAAAGGACTGTTAATGATGCTGATGATGACTTCAAAAGGTGCTTGCACAATAGCATTTACCGCTTCACTTGTGCCCAAGTTGTTACATCTGTTCAACAACACTACTAGCACAAACTTACGTCTATAATGCTATGCAGCATAATAGTTGGACCAAGTCGTTGAATCGCAGACCGCTTGGAAGCGTTGGAAAAGGGCCACCAATTCTTTCTAAGCGCCAAGTACTTGGACTCTTGCCCTCACACAAAGTTCGCTTATGTCATCTGATGTCCAAGTGATGGTACCAACGGTGCAACCAGTGAGGACAAAGCCTGAAGATCAGTACATGTCAGTAGCTCAGTTCACCGCACCCAGTTGCTAGGACATCTTGCCATTGCCCATTTTGAGCACCCACGTTCATGACGCTGTTGAGACTGACCACATCTGGCCAAATCTGCGGCGCGACCGTGGCAACTCGGCTGCCATGGTGGAGAGGGTGGGCTGCTAGAGTCCAGTTACGACTCACCTCTCAGAATCGGTTCATCTGTTGGATTGAGACACTATGCACTTGCAAATCCCACTTGCTAGCAGATCTTTGAACTGATTAGGTGCATGTCATGTCACAGGCTCGAGTTTTCTGCGCGCATGAAAGGAAGAAAGATTGAGACACTTCAGTTCGAGGCGGAGCGAAATGCTGAAGGAGCAAATGGAAAACAATTGAAAAACGCCAGGTCGACTGTACCCGTTAGACCTGGGCCTTCGAGATGCAGAGATGGAAACCTGATGAAGAACCCATTGAAGTGACCAGGGCAGGTTCCTCCCTCGTGCTCCCTCCCTCCGAGAGCGACTTTCCGGGTTCGTTCCTTTGAGAAGAGACATGGACGTGGCTCAAACATGGGTATGTTACTGAATACAGTAGAGTACAGTACGTTGTTGAAGTCACCCATAGCATCCCATAGTCACTCTTGGAGAAAAAGAAAACTAGGGGCTTCCTATGATCTGGCCTAGCAGGGGTTCTGGTTGCAGCCACGCCGCTGCGTCTCAAACGGTGCTGACTAATTGAAATTGTGACACCTGACCTATATATGGATTTCAGCATGCTGTTTCCTTCTATCAAACAGTTTGAGGGTCCATCTTGAGACATGTCCATGGGCTTAGAGGAAAATTGGATCGCTCTGAACTCTATGTAGACTCCCCGACACTCTTTCAAGGTGTTTTTCATTCTCATGTTCACCCCACCTTGGAAATCAACCCCCCGCCCCTACCCGCCCCTACCATCCATCCAAGTCCATCCCCATCCACCCGGCCTCGCAGCTTCGTATCTCCAGCAGCGTCCCAGGTCCGGCCCTGGTCCGACCGGCCGCAAGAGCCGCGTTGACGTGCACCACGTCGAGCCGGAGCCCTTCGCCCAGGCCTCTTCGGCGGCCGGTGGATCACGGTGTCTGCAGTGAATCATGAAACGGACACGAAAGATCGGTAGAAAATGGTTGATGGATGTTAATGGTCTTTTTGTGGATCAAGGTTTGCGCAACACGGCGCAACTGCTACATACTGCAACGCTGGTTCTCCTCCTTTTTGGATCTTTGGGGAGAAAGAGAAGCTTCTCTGAGGCGGCCAAGACGTTGTGAGATGTTGTGAGGAGATCTGGAGTCTGGAGACGGGCCAAACCGGCTCTTGAAGAGTCAGATTCATGCCCTGGAAGCTCCACTGGATGGCTGTGAAGTTCTTCGAGATGAACGTAGTTGAAATGGTCGTAGGCCGACAGGACTTCAAGAAATTCAAGTCCAAATTCATAATTCGTGATTTCTCGTCTTGCTGTTGATATCTGTCGATACTTGGCAGGACATCCTCAAGCAAAAAAAAAATCCTTGTCCCACATCCGCTATACCCAGACCCACCCTGCAGCCCAGCTACGCAGCCCGAACCTCCCGAACCACCGCAGTTCTGGGTCGTGCACGGGGGCCTGACGGATGCAAGAGGTGTAGGAAGAAAGCCACCAACGGGTGGTGTGCAGTACCAGTACCAAGCAAAGCCAGTACTTGATTCACTGGCAAAGCCAGTAATTCTGGGTGTGCTTGGCATTTTGCAATTTATTGCCATCAATCATCATCGGACACACTGAAATTGAAAGCATCGCACTGCATCTGGTCTGTCGACATACATGTTCTTCTCCAAAGTTTGGGACACCAAAAAGAGCTGATGCCCATGATATTCCAAAGCAGGTCAGCTCCCCAAAGGTCTGCCAGGCATGTGGCATCCGTCACACACCTTCAAGGGCCGTACAATAATCTTACTGTAATGAACCTCTTGATGTTTGGTCTTTCCCCCACTGCCTGGTGCTTTTCAGACGGGGGCAGGGGTATCCAAAGCTCAGACAGCCAGAACACGATGGAAAAAAACATGGGATGGCTGAATGTATATAGACCCTTGATGAAAAAAGTAAAAACGCATGAAGAGGTTTTGCAACCAATGTCGGGGGGTTATTAATCAAGAGTCTACGTTATATTATCTCATCCAGATCCAGAGTGGCCCACCTTCTCGCCCATCGCTTCGCAGCTTCCTCCCCATGGCGTCCCACCGCCGCGGGCCCCACACACCGTCCCGCGGCGGGCGTCGGAGGTTTCTCCAGCGACGGGCGCGGGGCCGGCTATGTGTGGATCTCAGGTGGGGACGAACCAAGATGTATCACGTAAATGTACAACTACACCTGGCAAGATTGCATTGATGTTTCTTTCAGGGTGCAGGACGTTCAGAAATTTTGAGGCTCAAAAACGAAGACGTGCGTGCCCGCGAGGTTACGCTACATCTTCATCCACCTTCCACATCTTTGTGGAGGACTTCCTGCAGTCTGCAGTGCAAAAACGGCCGAAAGCATCCAGAACATGCTCCTGCGACGGACAGGCGATCAACGCTTCCGCGCACGGCCTTTTCCGCGCACGGCTCTTTCCGGCTGTGAGGCCGGCGGTCGGAGCAAAGGCTACCCTCCGGCGGTGAAAAATTGGAAATGATCCTATGGTCGATCAGCGGTGCCGCGGATCGTCACTTGCTCCATTCAAGAAAAGTAAATACAGAAAAGGTGTGCTTGAGTCACTTGACATACAGCTATTTCGCAAAACAGCATTGTTCTGAATGGTTCTTGTTTATCGTCTTCACTGTCGTCAGTAATTGACCTTTTGAGGGCCGTTCGTCTTCAGAAGATTGGAAAAACAGATGAAGAAACATGGAACCTCTCCGTCGAACCCTGGCTTGGAGAATTCCTGGGAGTCCAAGATGTTTAAAATTGTCTTTTAGGTGATCTGAAAGGAATTTCCTTTGCTTCGGCAGTGCCAAACATAGTCTTTGGATGTCTTTGGACTTCAAGGAGTAGTGTAAATTGTTGTTGTCCTTCAATGATGCTCTGCTGGTCTCGCACCGGAAGAAGGGTTAGCAGGATACCCCTGTCTTTGACACCGTTTCATGAGAACAAGGCAAGTTCGGCAAAGAAAAAGATGTTGTCAAGGGGTCGAAAACCTGAAATCGACCTGGTCATTCGGTTGGGCATGTCATCTAAAAACCTCGGTGTGCATCTGGTCCGGAGACCAACCACTGGGTGTTCCAAACGTGTTTTCTCTATCTTTCTTCAGAGGGGTTGGTAACGAAAATGCAGCCTCCCAGGTGAATCTGTTCCGTTCCTCTCCCAATGAAAATTCAGGGGGTGGGCTCTATTTTGAAGCAAGCCAGTGGCTGAAGAATTAATTTGACACTTGGACTACGTGGTGAGTCCAGCAGCTTTTCCTGCTTTAACCGTCAACTTGACCTTCCCCTCCAAGTCTATCAAAGTGCACATTACTAAGAACAGCGACATGTTGACTGTCTTATTCTCAGCCTACAAGGCGGCAAAAAAGTTCGATGCATGTGATAGCAACTGAGCACTACATGTACCTTAGAAATCGGTATGCGGCTACTGCCTCTTCAGCTTGTCAGCTCTTTACCTTGGGCCCCAAGATACTACACAAAAAGCAAGGATAATCCTCCCTGACAACCATCAGGAATTGTCTGGAACCTTGACTCATCCCAATAGTGCAGCTTTGAACCATGTAACATGTCATACAAGTATCACATATTCACTTATATATCTCGAAGGATACAGGTCAGCCTGTGCCACCCATGATAGTATTCTAGACCTATAATAAGTCTAGGAAACCAGCGAAACCAGCGCTTCAAGCTAACATTGAAGTTGCTGGACATTGCTGAAGAGGCGCGCTCAAATGAAATGGATAGTGGAACCATGTCCGATGCGTCGCGCAAGCTGCTCTGCGTGTTCCGAACAAAACGGGCGTGGTGTACGGTCCGTGGAAATTGATTTTAAGATATTTTAAGGGAAAAGGAAAGATATTTTAAGATCTTTTTGGTGTTGAAAACCATGATTTCCTCATATGTCCGGTAGATTTTATCTTAAGCCTTAAACCAATCCTGGGAATTTCGGTCTAGCATTGTGGGGCCATCCAAGCTCACCAGTGGTCAAGCAGCTCCACTCCCAGCAACGAAATCCTCTGAAAGGAAAAGAGCCGGAGAGGGACTTACGATTCCGGTCAGGCGCTCCAAACCACCCACAAACCCCAGGTGTTTGTCAAAATGGTCTGGTGGATGTTTCTGAAGGATCATCCGAAATGAAAACCTTGCACTTCCCCCCCGCATTGCATACAACCCCAGCATCCGGAAGCTTGCTGGAGCCGCCTTTTGGATCCGCTGTTTCACACCCGAAGCCGACATAATGGCCCGAAGCTGGCGCTGCTCGAACTGAAGCGGGGTGGAAATGGAGCTGTGTGCAACTCGTGTTGTTTTTCGACGCACTCCGCATCGAGAAGTCCCAGTCATGGCCAGTGTCCAGACTGACCCAAAGACGCAAGACGCACGCACTCCGCTCCGCGGTCCACACCCTGCGCGGCCTTTTGTTTGCAACCCTACACCTGCAGCGTGTTTTTTCAACACTAAACCCCTTGAGTTCGTCTTCTCAAACAAGGGACATACGGCACCAACCCCAACAAAACAAACCTCAACTGCACGATCACGAGGCAAAACGGCGTAGTACGTGGGGGGAGCAAAAAGAAAGGCTGATGTTCCAAAAATCCTTAAAGTAAATGGTCACAACATGTCAAAACACGGAGCCTCAGGTGGGAGCCCACATCCCGGTGGTTCACATCCACATACACCTGACCTAAAAGGCCTTCCGGTGCCCTCCTCAAATCACGTGCTGGTCTGGTGTGGATCTGGTGTGGACTGCGGTCAGACGATGAACCCAAAGCTTTCAAAGTCGAAGTGGAATCTGGACTTCCCCATGACACCCCCGCATGTGGGGTTCTCAGTCGGGTGTTCACGCCCCAAACTGCGGCCCCTCGTTACCAGGAGGGAAACCGGCTTTGCTTTGGGGTCTTCCACGACCCTCGAAGCTTTGGCTTACCTGGTACCTGATGGTACCTGCATTGGCCAAATTCCTCAGATGGGCTAAGCCGCTCAGTCTCCTGCGCCACAAAAACCGACCTATATATATATATATATTTATCTGGATCTTCAAACGGCACGGATGCATTTTTCAATGAAAAGAAACCGCAATCAAGAAATTATGGATGGCAAAGATGTGCTCAAAATCCATGGAGTTTTTAGTTTCTGCCGGTACAAGTACTGCTCACAACGAAAAACGCCGACAAAGACGCCGGTCCACGGCATCTTTTGTTGAACAGGCAACTATGTGTGCCGTTTCAAACATGAGGCAAAGCCAATGGATCCCGCCAAAGCCGGTTTCGCAGTTCCTCCGTTGCCCGGACCGAGGGAGCAAAAAATCCCTCCGTACATCCCACGACCTGAGGACCTGGTCGTCGCACCTGAGATCGTGTAGTCTTCGTTCGGTCGTCTCGCGTCGCGCGTGCGGTTCCAAGGCCATTCCCATGTTTCTGCGCTGGGAGATCGAAAAGGCTGCTACACACATCTCTATCTTTTGTATTTCTCAGCCATGCACACTAGAATGAGGTATAATTTATAGTTAAAATTAAGATCAATTATATAGAACATTGATAATGGATTTAAGTAGTCCCACTAAACCGTTGAGTTGTTGATCCCCCACTTTCTTATCTTTCTTCCGGGCATCCACAAGATCGACCCAGCCAACTCCAAACGCAAATCCATCTATTTTGCCAGTGATTCGCTCCTCAAAGGCCTGCCAGGAAGAAGGCACCTTCATAAGGTGCCAACTTCAAGGGCTCGTGCAAGGTGCCATCCCCGTGGAGCACCACCTGCCACAACCACCGCGATTTCTTTGAGTCTGGTGGTCTGAAATGAATTCTGAAGCCATGCTTCCGAAGTACCACGCGTGCACTGCTCGCACCCCAAACACAAAAAAAAGAAACGGTCCAAATTGGACCCGAAAACCCAACCAACACGGTCGTCATCTGCGTCACTGCGCGGGGTCGTCTGGGTGCGTGTGCTTCCCTGCCGCACCTTCTGCTCCCCGGTGGCGATGGTTCGATCAAGGGCTCCTGTGGGTTCGATCGACACGTCGGACACGTCGCAAGTGGACCGCTCTGGGGGATTTCTGATCGGAGTTGGTGTGAAAGACTCGTGGTTGCTCTTTGCAGTTGTCATTGGCTTCTGGCAGTCTCCCCATTCTACCAACAGTGATGCATAAAGAATGCATATGAAAGCCATGAGGTGGGCATCTTGTTCGTCAGGAAACAGGTGCTTGGGCAGCAACGGATAGAATTCTGCTGTAGGATGGATCTAGTCTATTACAACCCTCTGAACTACAATTGTTGTGAAAGCAGTTATATAACCTTTTGATCTGGCAATGCTGCAATATCAATGAAAAAGTGGGAATCGACAAGGAGAAGAAACAAACATGTGTACAAACATATTCAATCATATTCATATACAAGAAAAGAACCCTACAAAAAGAGAAGAACACAAAAACAAGACAGAAACACAAAAAGTCCGGGGGACGCTGTCTTTGTGTTTGTTGTTGTTTGTTATTCTATTGTGTGGGTGTTTGGTGGAATCATGAAAACTGGTTGGTGTCGTTGTTTCTTTCTCTGCTTTTGCTTGCTTTTTTGACCGTCTTAAACTTGCGAGGAGTGGAGATTGAATACCCGCTTTTCAAAGGTGATCCAGAGTTTGTGTTGCCAGTGACACACTGAAGTTTTGCCGCCACCGTCACACATCAAAGTCGAGGATTCTTGCAGCCGCGCACTAAAATAAAAGCGCGGCACAACAACTCGGATCCGTCCTTCTTGTTGCAAGGACACTGATCCGGTGAACTCGACACATCCTGGGCCCAACGTTGGTCTGAAACAAGCACAGCTTTGGCCTAAAGGAACCAAAACAGGAACCTAGGCTGCAATGGCAACACCTTCGAAGCCGGTTGGCTTTCACATCTAAGATCCTCCACAAACCAATCTAGTGTACTGTATACTGTATATGTGTGTAAACCAATCCTCTGCCTTCCAACTACACAACAAAAAAGGCCACACCTCACCCGGGACAAGACAGCCATCAGGAAAATTTGGAGGAAGTGGACTCGAGACATGTCAACTTCCGGGCATCCTTTCCTTTCATCTTGGGTACCACCTCCTGAGTGAGCTTGGTGGGGCTTGAGCGGCTCCCCCCGCCCCGGCCGCCAGCCTGTCGGATGGGGATTCAACACGCAAAAGCCCAGCAAGGCCCCGCCGTTGATCTCCGCACCGTCCGGTCCACCTGAAGATGGAAGGCACTGGTTGAAATCGTCCAAGTGGACAGAGGTTGAGCATGACACGCGTCCGGAGCGCGTGGAGCTGCTATTTGTCAACAGCAACAACCGACGGTGGCTCTACAACGGTTGGAGATTGAGGTGGTCCCGACATGGACCTTCGTTTGGCCCCAGACAGACAGTTCCAAAGGGCAGCAGTTGGAAGGCTACATGGATTCTTGTGCTAGCGTGTTTCATGTTTATATGATAGATGAACGGGGTGTTTCGCTGCATTCTCCTCCTTGTCCTCCTCCTCCTCCTCCCTGTCTTCTAACAGCCCCTGACACTCCGACCCCATCACCGCCTGCATCCACGCGCACCGCGATGCAAATGGTCAAGGGTCGGCCGCCATCCTCCGCCTCTTTCACCCTGTCGGGTCGGGTCGTCGTAGACGGTCGCCGGTCGTGGTCGGCACGGTGCATTGGTTCTCTGAGAGTCCAAATGACTCGGTAGTGGATTATGACTGCCAGGTGGAGTCCAATGAGTCATTGGAAGGGAAATCCCCGAAGTGCCAGTTCCCAAAAGTGGGTATTCATCGACCTGAGGTCAAGTACGATATACGGATGTATAGGGTTTTTGCGGTGAGCGTGCTGCCACGTGACCCTATAGGCCCAAACTCGCCAATTTTGATGTTCCGGGGGCTCCTCTGCATCTCGGAACTTCAATGAAGCATGGTGTTTTCTCCGACCATCTCAATCTGAACCAGCTCCCACTGTTTTGTTTAACCTTTTATATACATAATGGTTCAACTTTCTGGCTATCTCAGTCGGCTCGTGGTGTGATCCGGAGGGGAGGCGACACCGGAGGCCGACGTTCACGGCCTCACTTCGGTGCGGATCGTCTGCCGTTGCTCTTGGCTCAAAGACTCGATGAACTTCCGGAGCGCCTGGCAGGTCTGGACGGCCGGTCGAATCAAATAAACAAAGTTATATAACACAATAGTTATTACGCAAAGAAAAGGTAAATAAATCTGTAAATAAAACAATAATAGGAAACTAAATAACAATCATGAACAATTTAATGAATAAACCAATAAGCAAATTAAGAAGTAAAAATATGCAGTAAAACATTCATAATAGGAAACTGTTGAAGAAGTCCGGCACCGAACGGACGCAAAGCAACTACCGCGAGTTCCGCACCTCTACAAGGTCTCCAGAGACTTCTCAACATGTCAAAAAGGGCAGTACTAGTAACAAGGTGCCTTACTAGTAGGAACAAGAAGCTACTAGTAACAAGGGCATTTCTCTACGAGTTCCCAACCAATTGCTGGGGAGAGCTGGGGATCTCCCTCTTTCCAATCACCATTTGTCTCCATACTTCCCCAGCAGCTCTTTCCCGCAGCTCCAACTGGAAACTCCTCCCCCCGCACGAAACTGCAGGTGCACCTTGCGGTATGCAAGGGCTTCCTTGATCATCCGAGACTTCTTCACCTGGCCGGAGCACAGCACAAGAGAAGCGGAAAGAATGGGCCAGCGGCAAAAGGATCTTCGATATGAGGTACCTAAATTGCTCGAAGCCGTCTGAAGCCTGAAGCCAGGTGGCCACTCAGGTGGCAAGTTATCTCAAGTGCACCATGTCTCCAAAGGAGAGCTCTTGGAAGCGTCAAAACATGTCAAAACCCATGGGGTCTCAAAGCATGGCGCTGAGATATGAGATCCATACGTTCCTTTCTTTTCATGATCCACAAAGAATCGGAGCTCAGGGGACGAACTGTACCCTCTTGATCCCTCCTGCACTCTCCAGGGAAATGCACAAATGCGTCTCCCATCCAGAAAGGAAGACTGAGTAGTCGGTTTTTTTCTCCAAATTGACTGGACCCCGAGACCAAATTCCACTCTTGTGCAGTGTGCACTGCTGGCCGCAGCCTGGCTGACCAAAGCCTGCTGGGACTCCCCACATCGTCCGCCAACAACAGCACCGAGCCATCATGGGTCGCCAACAGCCAGGCCGCCGCCACTTGGGCCGAGGCCTCAGCCGAGGCAGCGACAGGCGGATCTTAGATATTCCTCCCATGTCGTGGTGTGGGTGGGGAATCAAGGGAAGGCTTTGGAGTTGGAAAAATGTGGAAAATGCATATGGAGAGTATGCTTTCTTTCATTCTCTCCTCAACCTTCAAGCGTGGTAGTCGGGGGCTGTCATGTAACTGTATGAGTAGTCTCTCATTTGGGATCCTTATTGGCCTAGGGCATGGGCGCCACCAACTTGGACGTAAGGCGACGTTCCGCCATGATAGAAGGGCTGGACCTGCGTGTTTTGGTGAGTACGCATTCCAGGTTGATGAGTGTCTCCATGTCCACGAGAAATCCCTGCCCGTCAGTCCTCATGACTTGTCTCAAGATTGGAGACCCAAGCAAATTCCAGGGAAAGACACAAGAACAGCAGCAAAATCCATGAAACCTATTGCTGATAGGTCCTTCATCGTTGTGAGGTCGCTCATGTCCTTTGACATTGCCTGCGAGGCACACCCATCTGCCAGACTTACACCTACCATGCTCGACACGTGCGGAGACCGAACGCAGCCCCCCGTCCGCCGGCCTGGCTCCAATTGGTCAAGCCGTAGAACGGCACATCATTACCTTACATAGGCCCATCGTGCTAGCTTGGTCGGTGAACAAGCCCTCCAGCTGACACCGAACTCTCCAGCTGAAACCGGATCGAACGATGCCTCCTTCGTTCCAAACAACAAAAAACACGAAGACTGCCAGGGGAGGCATGGGTGCATCGGTGCACCCGACCTTGGGCTTCTTGCATCCTAAAGCCAAGGTCTGTGACTCTGTGACTCGCCCAGCCACAAACAGTGTCGTGGTTCCGCGCGAAGCGGATGGAGTTCCGCGCCAGGATGGGCGCGGACATCCGCCCCTGCTCGACCTGCAGATGGCAAGGCGAAAGTGCTCGTTACAGCCAGACAGGAGCATCCTCAAGCTCCACCTTTGTCCTGATCGCAGCCCCAAAAGCCGTTTCCATGGTCAGTTCTTTGGTGTGCGGAACGAGGATTGAGGTGGTCAGAGGTCAAGGGTCGCTTTGATTTGATACTTGAGGACACTATCCTTTCGAGGCCAAGTGCCTACCTTACAGGTTTGTATAGAAGTCTACTCTTTATGTTTGTTGAGTTTTTTGCAACCAGGTTCTCTCTTTTTCTTGTTTAGCTCTTGAACAGCCGCTTCAGAGCTTTCGGTTCCCGCACCGTGCCCGCACGCTGGGGCAAGTCGGAGGGCCGCTTCATCTCAATCTCGCGCCTTGGTCGACCGTTGAGGTCACCGGTCACCGGGTGTGATCGAGGAGACATGTCTGCTTTCTTGGCGACGGGTGCTAGTAAGGAAGGTCGTGGAGCTCGGAGTTTGGAGCAACTTTCAAGAACATCCCTTTCGAACACGGCGACCAAAGTCTGGAACTGCTCCAGCCGATGCGTCAGCGCCGGTGAATTCCAGTTGGTCCAACTCTTCGGGTGCCTGGGGGGACGTGCCTGTTTCCATGGTTATTTGATTTGTAGCAAGTGGCCGGGTTTTTGACTGGTCCGAAACCCAGCTTCACATCTTCCATTTCTCCGCCAAGCTGCAAGTGTTTCACCCACTCATGATGCTCAAAATCCACTGCAGCGGGACCCACCTCCACGAACTTCCGCAGCCAGACCTCACAAAGTGTAGTTGTTCGAAGAACTCATGAGAAATCGGACCTCTCAAATATTCTCACAGCCATCACAATGTTCCACAGGGATGCATATTGATTTATACTTAGAAATTATTGGGACACCCCACTTCGGGACTTGGATGGGGATTCGTCTTGTCTCAAAGTTCAGAATAAACATCAGTTGAGGTGATTCAAAAATTTGATAGAAAAATATAGAAAAAGTGAATCCCTTCTAAATAGATGCTCTATCTTTACGTGCGACATCTGCAGGTTCGTATTCGTATTGTCATGCAAAGTGCATGTCCCCCGCGCCGAGACACCGCAAGCAAGAAGTCGGTGGTGGGGAACTGCTCGCCCGTGGTCAGGGACACTCCTGGCGAACAATCCCTGGCAGATGCTGCCTGTGGCTTCAAAGGTAGGATCAAAGTGTCTCTCCGGTGGGTAATAGCCATCACCGCAAAATTCTGAAAATCTACTTCTTAAGCTGATTGCTAATTGGAACTGATCAGGTGCCAAGACCGAAACGTTGGCGATGCCCTTATGGTTGTGCTGCCCCGGAGCATCGCACAATGCGTGGCACCCAGCCATGCTACACCCATAATGCAAGTTCAAATAGCCATTGCCATCGCCATGTAGCCTAAAGCCCTGGTGGTTGCACCTCACATTCACAAGAAGAAAACAATACTCGCATCATCTCACATACAGGCATGTTCATATCAACAGAACTACGTTGCTTCTCCTTCAGTGTACTCCCGCTGCATCTTTGGGTCGATGCTCAGCACCTCAGAAACCAGGTTGCCATGCCAAATGGCATCTTGCTCTAGCAGGCAGCTGCATGGCAAGCAAATGGAAACGCACGAAAAACAGTTGCTTTAAAAGTTTCAACTCCGGGTGTCCAAAAGTTATTAAATATCCTTGAACATCCTCAATCCCCCAGGTGGCCTTCGTAAGGGACTTTGCTACCTCCAAATCCACACCACGCGACCTCTCCATAGGCATAAACATCTGCTTTGTCCACGTAATTGGCGATGTGTTCGGGCCTCATGTGCCTGAGATGGGCGCAAGTGTGAGCAAGTTCATGGGACAAGGTTTCTGGTTCACAGGTGCCTTACTAGTAGTAACTAAGAAGCTATTAGAAACAAGTGCATCGCTACTAGGAACAGGTGCCTTACTAGTAGTAACTAAGAAGCTATTAGAAACAATATCAGGTTTTGCAGAACAGAAATAAAGGTGCATCATCTACACATACAATATGAATATGTATGAATGACAACATCAATCTTGTCAAAACCAGGTTAAAACTGCTTTGAAAAGTAAAAACGGAAGGATCCGCTCCCAGGTAGCAGTTCTGCCGGAATTTCGGTCTTCGAGCAACGTCTTGAGCTGGGGAAGACCATGGCAACCAATTTTCTTCAGGAAAGAAAACATCGAATTCCCTGAGACCTGCCGGTCGAAACAAAATGGGTCGCCAAGCAGCTTAGCAGCGTCGAAGCGGAAACCGGAGACGCCACAGCTCTTCCTGGGAAGAAACCATGTCGCATGAGTATCACTGAGTCCCAAGTCCCATGCACATGTTTAATACAGCAAAACCATACAACACCGAGCTAAACCCTCACAAACCACCAAAACCACAACAGAAAAACGCATGTTGTGGCTTTTGGTCGATCAAAAAGATGTTCCACGTGAAATGGAGAAGTAGACGACAAAGCTTTGGTTGGAGAGAGCAAGTACCCTTCGCAAACTCCCGAACCGCTCATATTCCTCCATCTCCTGAACCAAGGGCAGGGACAGAATGAAGTCAGAAGTTGGTGGTCAACCGGTCAACCGATGTGAAGCCCATGAACTTCGCGCTGCTCCACATAGGCAGCGACCAAGCCAGAGAAATCATCAACATCTATGTAAATATGTTCAATCAACGGGCGACGGGCGTGTAAAAACGCGCCCGACCACGCGCGATTCCCCTTAAAATTACAATTTCACGTTTTTTGGTCGGTATTTGGAGCATTTGTTCACCCGCCTCAGCATCGAGAGGCATCCGCAAACTCGGATGGCGGACATGCGAGGTGCGACTCGTGACTCAGTCTGTATTGCTTCCATGCTTCAAGAACAGCATCAAGATCTGAATTCTTCAACAAGTAGCGAATCCAGCTGAGTCAAGTGTGAAATGCGGGGGGGAGTTTTACCGAGCAAATTTTGTCGTCTCATCAATCCTTTGATTTAAGCAATTTCGCTTTCTGCCTGGTTATCTCCACCTACAAATTCCAACTCTTTCGCTTCCAGCAGGGCAGCCGGTTGCTTAGCCTCAGCCAGTTTGGAAACAGTCTTGAGTTGCCTATAGGGGTCAAAGAACTCTTTTTTGGCTTGGCTACTGGGGTCATCTCGTCTATGTGGTGTCGGGCAGAGCCGACTGGAATGCTATGCACTCCAAATTGGTTCGCTAAGGCTTTGCCACCGTCTGTGCTGGCCAGACAAGACGAAGCATCTACGCGCATTCTCAAAAGGTTTTCTGACTTCTACGCTGCTCTCAGGAAGGCGGGGTGCTCCTTCTTGAGCTTTGCGTGGACGAAGACGCATGGCAACACATCTTTTGGACTCGTCCCACTGGTGCACATCCATGGTCCAATGGTGCTCATTCGGCTTCCTTGCCATGCTGAGCCTTCACCTTGTCCGTTCATAGAGTTGCAGTATCAGGCTCCTTTCGGGGCCAAGTTACGACTCCTGCGTTCCACTCTTTGGAGCCTCGGGCTATTCCCAAGAAGGGCCTGTCACCGCATCCAGAAGTGGCAACTCCAGTGTTGCACAGGGATCAACCTGGGTGTGCATCGCATGCTTTCACCCCCAAAATGACCACTCTGACTTCTCTGCTCTGGCGCAGACACATCTGTCTAGATATAAGCATAAGTGTATGTGTAAATACACATATCACATCATATGAAATTTATACTAATGCTTTTCGGAAACATTACAAACATAAGAACCTATCCTATATGCTATACACTGATGTTTGCGCAAAATCAACGGATCAAGATCATAGACCTGACCTGGTTGCTCACCATGTCAAAGTCCGGAGCATTGATCATGCGTTGATTGCAAATGTTTTTCGTGAGTGTGCAAAAAGGAAGAAACAGCAAAAATGAAATCAAGCACTATCTTTCTTGCAAGCACTATCTTTCTTGCCTCGGGCTTGACTGCGTGAACCGCGGAATGGAGCGCGCGCAAGCCAAGCAGCTCCTGCATCGTAGGGGGGAGCTCTGCGCGTGCGGACTGCACGCCGATGCAGTCGCGGCAGCCCTGCTCCCGTTTCACAGGATGGAGCTACCCACCAACATCCACATCCCCACCGCGCACGCTCTCCTTTGATCGGGCAGAGCCATGCTCCCGCCTGATCGGGCGGGCTACCCAAGAACCTGTCTTAGAACAAAGACGCTCTCCCCAAAAGCCAAACACGCCTCAACGTCAAATACTTCATGCTCATTCCATGCCTGAGCCAAGCCGCTTCTGTCGCTGGACCCATCCTCTGAGATCTAACCAGGCAACACCAACGCTCAATCCTTGGACTGTCTTCAGCAAAGCATCCTTTCATCTTCTTCGACGGTGGGTCGTGCCGGAGCAGTGGCGAAGGTGTGCCATCATCCAAGTAATGAGGCATGAAGCAGCTGCCAGCCAAGCTTGGACCACACATCAACCTCTTGACTGAGAGAGCAATGACATCCACTGAATGCTCAACACCTCACCTCGATCGCATGCACTTCGTGGAGACAGCAGTCGCTTCCTGACAACTTTTTTGTTACTAAGGCTTGTGCCACCACAAACCATCCAGGCGTTCTCGATCGAGAAGGCTCGGGTGTAGCGGGCGCAGCCGACGCACTGGACGCAGCCACCGACACAGCAGCAACCGCAAAGCCGGTCCGCATCCCGCCTAAGACTGCCTTTGTTCTGCGAACGCGTTCGGACGCGCAGTGCCTGTGCTCGACCGGGCAGCCTGGGGCTCACTTCCAGCCGGCGGCGTGGGAAACGCTACCGCCACTCTCAGATCCGCAGCCCGAAGACGGCCAGCGCGAAGTTTGTAGCACAGGCGATAGTGGCGTTGGCGCGTCAGCAAAGACTGCAAGAGGCGCATCTGCGCGCGCAGCGCCGGAGTCGGCGCCGCAAGCGTCTCCAGCAACCACCCGACGAAGCGCTCGGCCTCGCTCAGCAGCCCCGGTGGTAGAGTTGGGCGGCTCGCCAGGCAGAAGAGTCGCAGAGCCCGATCAGGGACAGCGCGCTGGACGGGCGACAACGCGGCCACGGTCTGGGTCGCGGCGTCCGCGGTCGCCGCTGTCGCCGCGGGGGTAGCCGCGCACGGCGCGTACACTACCAACACGGCCGTGTAGAACGGCTGTGCTGCGGGCAGCGGCGCGCGCAGCGTCGTCGCGTCTGGGCGCCCCACGGGTACTCCGCGGCCATGTTCCGCGAGTCTCGTTTGCGAAGCGAGTGGGCCTAAAGGATCAGGGAGCCGGAGCGACGTCTTTTGTAGCCTAGAAGTATGAGCAGCGCAAGAGACGACTATCCAAAACCCAAAAAAAACAGTCCTAAATCGTGCTTTTTGTGTAGCAGCAAGACTGTCCACGTCCTCCACCAAAACTGGAAATGACGAGGTCGACTTGCACTCACCACCGACAAGTCACACCAAGATGTATCCGTGATCAACATGGTCGGCAAAACAATTTTTTTCGATTGAGTCGTCCAAAGTCCAAGGGTTGACCGTGAACAAAGGTTTCAGACCCTCAAGCCTTCGAAGGCACCAAAACCCCAACAACAAAACAATCACCAGCACCACCACCACGTCTTCTGTTTGTCGAGCCCTCCATGCTGCGATCCATTCTATTCGGCACCTGAACAAGAAAAGCAGGCCAATAAGAGGCCAAAGCCTTTCAGCAACAAGCTTTATGTTAAAGGTGCGCGTGGTGTTACAACGCGTATATGTGCACGCTACCATCCATGCACGTGAGCGCAGTCGCACACATTTTCCGGTCAACTACGCATGCGGCTTTAGCTTTTCGCGCAAGCGAAAGGGACGTCAATATCCCAGCCCACCCCTACACTCGCATTCTTGGTGCGCGACTTACAATGTTGGTTCAAGCCGCAAGCGTGACCGCTCGTTGCGCACGCTCAATTACTTGTGCCAAGTGCATATCCAAATATTGGACAAGGCCACCATTAGATGGCAATTCTCAAACGAAAACGGCGCTTTTGATCAGCTGCATGTGCGCATGCTCTGCCGATGTGCAAAATACCTGGCAGGCGCAGTGTTTTGTGCACTTCCCAGAAGCCCCGATTGTGAAGCGCATTTCGACTGACAGGCGTGGTAAAAAAGCAACCTAAACTCTCGCAGGGCCCTGCTGTTTCGTGTGCAAACGAGCGTCATGACATGCCCGCTGAGCCTCAAGCAAACAATCAAATTAACCATATATATATATTTAGCATATCATATATGATTCATTTGAGTTGTTTTTTTGAGCATACGTAGATGTTGATGATATATATCATATATGGCTGTGTGATGCCCTGACCCACAATGCCAACTTCTGGGTCTCAGCGGCAGCTTGGCAACATGAGCGTTATGGACTGACACCACTTTGGGCGCACCGCCCTGCATGGCAGAAGATCTCAGGTTCGGAACGGGGGGGCGAACGAACCTCGGAACGTCCTAGTTTCAACGAAAAGGAGGGGCAGAACCCCTCAGAATCTTCGAAGCAGAAGAAACAGTTACTTGATGGCTATTCATGCATTCCGATGAATGCATGCGGCCTCAGAAAAAAAGAAAGTACCAAGAGCGAACATGCACAGGAATGGATCTCGCTGCAAGGGTCGTGAGATGTTGAAGAATGGGACGTTTGCTCACGAGTGTCCCTCAACCAGAGGTGGAGAAAGGACATCGGAGATGGATCCCTGAACGTTTTGACTCTAGGAACCAGAGGTTGGTTCAGGGTTCTATTTTTTTTCAGGCTTCTACAGGAGAAACTCTTGCAGGTGAACAGGCTGTACCAGGGTGCAAGCGACCTCGATGGCACAACCCCTATGACCTCATTTTGCGTGACGCGCGATCGATCTTTGACTTTGATGTGAGTGGGGCTACACACACACACACACGTCTCTACGTAATGGATCCCAAAGCTGTGTGTGGCCTGAACATTGGAAGGTTTGAACAACTTGAACCAACTTCCTGGCAAGTATTTGGAAAAGAACGAAAAGACATCTGCGTCCTCCGCAACAGGATTGTACCACTGGTAGTCTTTGGAGGTGTGTTCTGACAGTTCACTACAGAGTGTGAACCGAAGGCCAGGAAGTGGCAGTGGGCGTGGCAACTGTAGTGTTCCTGGGCAATCTCTTCTCTTAGTGGTTGAGGGACCTGGATCGAACCCAACATGAGGTTTGCATGGAGACGATCAAGTTCAAGAGAAATTGGATCAATCAAATGCGGGTACGCTAACGATCTGACTGGAGATGTCTAGAAAATTGCAAGTCTCTAGAGACGCCAAAAAGGAGACAACAAGAGAACACAATATTTCAGGAAACTCAACACCAACGTAGGGACCCAAATTCTTCCAAGACACCCAGACCTTCACCCATGGAACCATGGCCCACAGACCCCGCCCGGGCGTCATCCTCAGTCGTCATCGCGCCTTGAGCTCAGACCATTCGCCACAGCCCCAGCCCTCCATGCGCTGCTCCCCGTCCCAGTCATCACCCTCCAAGGGATACCAAGGCCATTGGAAGTCGTCCCTGGCGATTCCGCCCTTCGGAAGGACCGTGGTGACCCGGGTGGAGGGCGAAAGGTCTTGATCCACCGGAGGTTGTTTTCGGGGGCAAGAAGGGGCAGAATTGATGGATGTCATCGATCGCAGGAAACAAAACAAATGGGAACAGCAACAGCAGTAGTTCTACTTCGAGGCAGGTTCATCCAACTCAGGAGCCAAGTGCACTCATCCAACTCAAGAGCTTCGCTCAAAACGTACTCCAAAACAGAGTTTCTTCGGAATGGCCATCCTTCGGTCGATGGTCCTCGGTGATCGATGTGACACATGACCATTTGGCTTCGACGGCTTCGACCGATGTGGACCGTCGATCCGACCCCAAACGCCGGGTCCCGTCGATCCGGCCAACCGGACCTGTTGAAGGTAGGCCCCAACTTCTGTGAGAGCCGACGTTGCAGGATCTCCATCAAGCCATCATCCTTGCTTTTTGAGAGGACGTCCGGACGGGTTTGACCAACCCAGGTCACAAATAAAAAACTCCTACATCTCCCTACTGCTGTGCTGTGAAAAGGCATGAACGAAAGGATGTGTTGATTTCGGATTTTGCCCCTGACTTCACCACTTCCGTGACTTTAGAATAGAACGAGAATGATCTTGGAGAGGATAGGTCCTTTTCAACACAAGGTGAGTCTGTTTGTTCCACAGGAAGCACGAGTGATCCCAGTGATCCCAGCGGAGTGCGCGTTAAGACCAGCATCTCGGGGCTGGCCCGCCACTGCCATGGGGCTTGGGATGCGACTTGATGTTGCTCACCACACCATATTTCTTCGATGTTGGCATCCATTGGTAATCTGGATGTGCGTGTACAGTTATATAGACTGGTGTTGCGGAACAAAAATACATCATAGACATCCTAATTTAAGCATCAGTCTTGTCTTCCACCCACTGGTGCCGTGGCCACCCGCTCGTCCTGCTGGGCTTTCCTCCATTCCTCACAGCTCGCCACCACCTGGTGTCTGATGCGTCCCTCCCATCGAATGATTCATGATCAGTTCATGTGACTACCAGAAGCTTGGTCAATAATGCTATATACATCTATATAATATCAATATACATACACATGCAAACGGGTTTGCTTAAGGCTGCGTGCTATTTGAAGCGCGTGTTTGCCAGTGATTGTTCGGAAAGCCAAAGCTTGCACGATGTATAGCACCCGTGCGTTTCGAGTGATTGTTTTGTCGTTTGCACATGGTTCCGTGGTGTACCACTTTCACGGATGGCACGGCAATTTCCGAAGTTCGTGCATGTTTGTATGTTGTGCGAGCAAAACCTAGGGCCAGGGATGTGAAAGGTGGTGTGTTTGCTGCTGCGTGGTTGATGCGACTTCTGTGTTGGGGGTGGTGGGAGGGGATGGGGAGGCGGGAGTGAATGTCGTCAATGTGTTCGGGGATATAAAGCTAGGACACTGTGAGCGGCAGCACAACGCCCGCGACCAAGGATTTTGTCCGTGGTACACGCTGGGGGGTTTTGGTGTGCTTACGGCGTTGTTGGTGTTGGTTTGTTAGAGGTGCGCATGGATAGCTAACATGTACAGGTGGCTCCACACCTCTTTCCCTGGGCAAGATTCCTGGGGAAAGCTTATGGCCCAAAAGCGGTCTAATGATATCTGGACACATACATTGAGGCTCTTGAGGCTCTGTTCTACCAGAGTGTTGATGGGTTCCAGATCAACCAAAGTGTGGAAAGTGCACATTCCAGCAGAGTTTGGATGGGTGTCAGGTCAACCAGATTTTTTATGGCTTCCAGATCAACCAGAGGTTGGAAGGGTGTATGTTCAAACAGAGCTTGGGCAGGTATGACAGGTATGAGCTCGCTCAACCAAGGTAAAAGAAAAAGTAATCCACATACAATGACAAAAATCATACAAAACTATAATTTCAAAAACACCAGATGTCAAAGCCCAAGCAAAAACACCACCGCATTATCCAAACCCGTCGGGATATATACTGTGCAACATTGACCAATTCCCTGGTTACAGGAACATATTCGGCATGATCTTGGTAAGTATTTGAAACATCGTTTACATTCTAAACGAACCAGAACTCAATGGGGACGACCCAAAGCATATACAGTAGATCTTATCCAACCATAGCAAAAGGTTTGAAGATGCATATCCTCCAGCAAGGCCAGGTCCAGGCTGGAAGAAATTTCCCTCAGTTTGGGGTTCCCATCGTTAACCCCCCAGATTTGACAGGCAGCTGTACAAGCCATTCGGACGTTTGAATGCAAATCGACGTGATTCACTGTTTCGGACGCTTGATTCTCCTGGATCCGGCCTGTTCAGCCAATGGGCCAAAACACACCCAGCGGGGCCCGATTCCCAACCTATCCAACCTCAACGCAAGTGATGAGTTGACCGGTTGCTGTGGCCGGGCCAACATCCAACAGTTCAACAGTTCACCGGGTCACCGATCATGCGGCCTGGCACTCCCGCGCCTGCATGTGGTTAAAGACCAAATCTCCAAAGACCAAAAGACCCGCATTCTCGCAAGCTTTACAGCAGTTTCGGAGGTCCTGGCTGCAAGTCGGACAGTGGGCTTGGGCTCTGTCTGTCTGCCTCGCTCGCTCGCTCGCGCTCTCTCTCTCTCTCTCTGTCTCTCTGTCTCTCTTGCTTGGGGTGGGGTGTGGGGGGTGGCCAGTGTTGGCTTGATTGCAAAGATCGCCGTGCTGCATTTGCTAAGACTCTCTCCCTCCGCCTGCACTCGACTCTAATAAGAATTGATAGGATGGCCCTGCCTTCAATTCCTTGCGCCATTGCATGCTGGCTCACTACCAACCTGATTTGGTCCCTCCTGTCTTTTCTTTTGAAGTGGTGGAACAAACGCCGCAAGGAACCCTTCCTGGGCAAACCTTCCAACAGGATCATCATGTTCACAAGGTAGCTAAGGTGGTTTGATTTTGTTGGCACACTAGGCTCGTGCACCGAAGAACGAGGATGAATGCAGGGCGGCCAGTCTTAGCACACTCTGAGCGGTGTTTCACGGTTTCGAGAGTCGTTCAGACTCGGAGAACATCATTTCGGCTGTTCGGCTCAAAGAGATCTCTTTTATAAGCCGGGGGGTTAGGCCGTGAGGGGAGGCAGCTAGGTAAGCTAGGTAGGTAGCTAGTAGGAGCTAGGAAGAGTCGCTAGTAGCTACAAGAACGCTACTACCGACAGGACGCAGGATAGCTCAGGCTCGCACTGATGATTTGGTTCCTAGATTTTTAGGGAAAATCGGTCTCTGTGGTTCTGTGGAGCACCTTGTGATGAGCAGAACCAGCTTGTCTCGGCTCAGCTACCGGATGGGCGCCGTCGGGCCGTGGCGGGGTTCTGCATGGTCAGCTCGCTTCATGCAGAGCTTGGCCAACAGCTTAGCCGACAGCTGGCTTCATCATATTGCCCGGATCGCACTTGACAATCTTGGTTTTCTGCACCTCTGCCTGGAATTCATCTGTGTGATCTCTGCTTACAGGGGCGCTTTCATCAGCTTGTTTCCCTCCTCCAGTGCATTGAAGCCCTTGAGGTTCGACTGATCTAGACACAGGACCGTTCTTGGCAGCTGAGACAAACACCTGCCCAAATATGAGGCACCTTCCATCCAGTTCTCCTCCCTCTGGCAATATCTCAATTCCAGCGGCTACAGTATCTTGAATCTTCTATTTCTTCAGACCCCCACCCCAGCTCTTGTACTTTCTGCTTTGTGAGTTATCCAAATTCAACTGTTAATCCCTCCGCCCATCGTCTCACTATGTTTGGCCAAGGTTCCTAAAGACCCGCCTTCCGAAGGCTCCGATAATAACACCAAGGAGCTACGAGGTGGGGATGATGGGGGTGATGGATAGATGCAAGCTGAAGTGAAGGCTGACCACCACTGGCAGCACTGCAGAGACAACGGATTCGTGTGTGGAAGATGCCGTGGTTGAGATAGGCACAAAGCACAAATACGAGCAACGCCGAACGAAGAACCCTCTGACTGTTTACCGAAAATGAGGCCATCTGCCCTTGTAAATTCAAAGTGGGTCACAAGTCACAACATGGCTCCACTTGAAGGAACGAAAGGTGGAGAAAGGAGGACCCCACCCTTCGCTGGCCTTCAGATCGAAATGTAACACTCAACCAACTGAAGCGAGTCCCAGGTCCTGCTCTGAGCCAAGCCCATCGATATCTTCATACTTCACTGGCTGATATCGTGTCCACCATTGATCGCCTCCAAACCAGCAGACAAAGGATGACCAAAGGAGTTCACCCGGAATCGGACAGGTCCTGAAGAAAACCTCTTAGATTAAGAAAGACATTCAGAATCTTTGCAAGTCCTATGTTGCTTTCACTGAGATGTCATCAAGTCCTATCTGACCTGAAGCTGTGCACTCACCAAACCCTCCCTCACTCACCAAAGGTCCCTCACACGTCCCTGGAGTCGCTCCCGCCTTGCACGGACCGCTGCGCCGGGCTCAGCTGCACCGCATCGAAGCCCAGCTTCGCGATGGTGGTGGCCTTGCGGCTCGTCCCAGAAGGACATGGAAAAGCAAAACGGAAGACCCTTGTTACTAAGTAGCGATGCCCTTGTTACTCTAGGGACGCTCCAATGGACGTGGGTGTGTCACCGTTGTCTTGTGCCTTTGTGGATTAGGTTGGCACGCGGCAATCCCAAGCAGCTTGGTGAAATCCCCTGCTCAATGGTGCTTTGTGGGAGGCTCTGGATCTGCAAACCCGCGACATGTCACTACCCCTCATCTGGAATCTTCGCCCCAAATGATCTACCTCATCCCAAGGCCCATACAACAGTCCACTTTGATCTTGCTGGCGATACCAAGGGTGAACATTCAGCAGAAGCTTCGTGCATTCGACGAAATCTGGTGATTTCTTGTCATCAGGGAAAGGTTGCTCTCATTTTCAAATATCCCCATGTTACACTTCGGCAAGTGAAACACCGTCTGATCCCATTTAGCCTAGAGAGCGACGTCTTCAAGCCTCAGCTCCTTCCCCGGGTCCTTCCCCCCAAAAAAATGACACTGCGTCACAGGGCCTTCCTCTGCACATCAGCAAACTTCCAGTTGAAGGCGTGGAAGATCTGCAGTTTGGGAACATGGTCATTGCATCAATTTCTGCAGCTAGAACGCTTATGTTTGTTACCTCTCTGCTTGTTATTGTCATGATTTGCCTGGAAGACTCCTTTTTCGAAGTATCCACAGCTCAAACTTTTGCGTCACGACCGCCCGGACCAAACAAAAGGGAACATCCTGTTCCAAACAACATGAGCATTGCCTTGAAGGGATTGGTTGGGTTCCTGACAAGTATCCATTTTTGGTGTTCTTTCCGGCAATGCCCTTCTTGGAAATGGCCGGGTTAGAGGTTCCCCTCATTACTCCTCATTCTCAACCAGCACTTTAGGTGGCAGGCCACAAATGGATGGGTCCCACCAAAAAAGAAAGGGGAACGACAACAGCAAATGTGTGTTTGTGTGGGACCTCTACCGGCCTCAAGCCATCTCCACCTCCCATCTCACCGGTCGCCGAGGCACAGCTCCTGGGAATTCCAGGGGATCGATTTCCACGAGCCAATTGTTCCCCCAAAGCACCTCCAGCTCATCATTGTCCTCCTGGCCAGCTTAGCGCACAGCTCTTAGGTAGCTTATGGCAGGTCAACAATCAGAGTAATTCCACAAATGCTTGGTCGGCGCATCAGGTTGAGCCAGAGACCATCAAATGTGGTCAGAATCTTCCTGATGGAGCTCCTCCGGCTTCTGTTGGTCTTGGGGGGGGACCTAAAAGCATTTCAACAGGTGAGGAATGTGCAGCTCAACAATTGTCTGGTTTTTGCATATCGGTGCCTGCATTGGACAAATTACATGTGATCTGATACCAAAGGCATTGCACAGCATCAACAAAATACGCCCCTGGAAGACCAAATGTTCGTCTTTCTTCAGACCCAACAGCGACCTGGAAGACCCGTCAGCCATCACCGACCCAACGAGATGATTGGCGATGTTGCATGATCTTCAGCCGAGGAATGGCTGTTCTGCATGAATCAGAGGCTTGCTTTGCAACTTCAACTTTCCAACCGGCCCACATTCCTTTAATCCCCCACGGATCCCCAAGGCGCTTTCACCTGTCGCCGTCTCTTGAACGTTCGAGTTCCGGGTTTCCCGGCCTTCCCCTTCCGTGGCGAGGGCAGGTCAAAGAGGTAAGATGCCTCCTGATGCGCGGAGGAAGGTAGAGCCAATCTGTGGACGGCCACCGAACGGTAATCGGTGCAAAGACCAACATGAACAGAATCCACCACCAGCTTCCGTTAGGGGTCACAAATGGAAACCCCTACACTACTTGTAGGTCTTCATTGAACACCCATTGGAAGCCTTAGGCAACATGGTGTGAAACGTCCCAATAAATGGATCTTGGTGAGTTCTGTTACAGCCTGTCATGTTGATTGGAAGTGTAACTGACTACTGTACAGTAGGAGCAAAGGAAGGAACATGTGTATTATATAGATGTCAAAATCTAAATGTACCAATCAATCCATCAATCAATCTATCAAGCTATCACTCTATCAATCTATCAATCTATCTGTCTGTCTGTCTGTCTATCTGTCTATCTATCTATCTATGGATGGGTGGGTGGGTGGATGGGTGGGTGGGTGGAGGATGGGTGGAGGATGGGTGGATGTAATGTAATGTGAGAATGTAATGTACTGTACTGTAATGTAATGGTATGGTATGGTATTGTATGGTACGGTATGGGTATGTATGTCAGTTGTACGTCAATGTATGCATGCTCTGTGTATATAAATATATATATATATAGAGAGAGAGGGAGAGATATGCATGGGGCGCGGCCTGAGCCAAACCAAACTGGCCACAGCCTTGAGTCGTCTTGCGTCGACTAAAAATGGGGAGATCTGTTGTCGCTACAATGTCCGAACAGTTGCAGCCCCATCACATCAACTTTGTTGGAACAAAGAAGAACATGATTCCCCTCGATGCAGTCTCGATGCAGTGTGCGTTCAACCAACCACTTGTGATTACTTCCAAGCTCCCCCCAGCTTCGCACCTTCCCCAACCCTGGCCTCGGAGGTCCAAAACCTGAAGGGCGGAAGCTGCTGTCAGACGGCAGGTGTCAGGATGGTTCAAGACCCCGGGCCACTAAATCCATGGTCCATCCGTTAGTTGGCCAAAAACACAAGTTTGGACAGCAACCTGAGGTTCTAAACCACCCCCAAGAATGCTCCGCCTGCTGAATGAATACCAGGCTATTTGGGCCTGATTGGGATCGTGCCGCAGCGGGTGTATTGCACAGGGGTGTTGCCGAGCAAGCGGCCAATTTACAAGTTGTAATAAAATTCAAGTGGAATCAACATCAAACAGCCCTACCAAACCAACACGCGTGCCCAACCAAAACCGGCCGCGTACCCAATCCGTTCACAAAAATTCCAGCAGCTCCTACCACGCCACACACACTTAGGAAATGGGCACTGACTCGATTGCGGTTTGCCACACACCAGCCTAAGTGAAACACCTAAGAGTCCAGGGCATAAGGAACCTGAAAAGGAAGCGGTACCCTCCATGAGGCCTCCAAAGCCCTCCAAGTTGAAAAAAATCCAAAGTCAAATGCTTGACTGCCGACGCAAACAGGGGCGATGGCCGGAATTCTTGTTCTAGTTAAAACTCAAGCAGGTACGTGCAGCTGATCAGGCTGCGTATCCTGAGGTCAGCATAGAGAGTTTCGTTGGGCACAGCTCTATGGGCCTCCTGTGCCGCCCTGCTTAAAAAATCAGCGGATTCCCTCTGATTCCAAGGGTTCCACACACACATATATATATATAATATATACACCCAAAAAGGGGACCGCCCACCAGTCCAAACCCCATCCTTCGCACCACCGGCTAGGCCGGCAACGGGCTGTCCAAGGCACCGGTTGGGTCGGTTCTCTTCCCAGCGCGGGATGCCATTGTGGCCCAAGCAAACGAACTTAAAGGCCATGCCTGGCGTGCGCCGGATCGAACGCCTGGATCAGACGGATGGAGAGGAACTCTACGGTGCCGTGGAAGGGCAGAATGAACGCATCTGATTCATCAAGGGGTCTACATTAATTGGGAAGGGGTCCTTTAGTTGCTTCCTTTGAAGCTTGAAGGATTGATCCACTTCAATGCCTACCTTGTGGCAAACCAGACCAGGACGTGGATTAGAGGGTTCAGGTCTTGACCCAGGTCCAACAACGACCTTCATAGATGATGTCCCCCATCACCTGCAGCAATTTCAGCAAACGCAACAGAGTGGCAGGGCCCCTTCCTTAAGTATTCCTTCCTTTCGGCATGCATGTCATGTCTGTATGCGAGCATGTACTTGTGTCACAGTATTCCGATGGTCATTACCTCCATACATTGCATGTACTGTATTGCATAACTGACTCTCTCGTCTCTCGTCTCTCTCTCTCTCTGTATATATAAATAGATAAATAAATATATATATATACACCTGCGACATTCTACAGGTGAATCTTGCCGAGATCTCGGTGGCCGATCAAACAAATAGAGCCGCAACCATGTCCTCCTACAATCCGGCCTGGTGTGAGATCAGCCAGCAGTCCAGGCAATGCCCAGACCTGCGTTGCACACGCATATGTTGGGCACATGCGTATGTTGGGCACATGCGTATGTGAATGAGCGTATGCGGCGTATGCGTCATGGAAGCGAAGGAATGAGCAACTTGAGTCGTTTCATCCACAAAATCCACAAGACTTGAACATGGATTGTCTCGAAGTAGGCAAACCACCGGTTCAAGGACAAATAAAGATAAGTTCTTCGTTGTGGGGATCCCACTTCAAGTCACAAACCTGATCGCCCACAGCCATGCATCCACCAGAACATATCCTCACACCAGTGAGAGGTCCCCCACCTTCACAATCAAGCCAGGCTGGACTGCATTCACCATTTGGTTCTAAAACAACTATTGCCCACGCCACCACCGCCACGGGCGATATGTTTAAAATTGCTAGAAACTAAATGGATCTAAATGTGTATATGGTGTTTCTCTATTAAGGGAACGGTGCTCTATGACCAAACAGTACTTCTCCAATAAGAGAGGATGCTCTCACAGTGTAAAGACTTGACTGTATGTGTAAAAAGGGGTTATTGTGTGTATTGTATATATTTGTATGTATATTAATGTTATATTTGTAAATTGTATATAGGTTCAGGCTTGGTTGCATAGGACCTGGTATAGAGAGGAGACTGGCGATTCCGTTCCCAAAGGATGGTGGGCGCTTTCTGACGCATCGCCTGGTGTTCGAATGCACAAATCCATTGGAACCTTCAAAACCTGGTGTAAAGTGTACTCCAAAACAAGTTGCGTTTGTGATTGTGTTTGTGTTTGTGGTTGTGTGTTTGTGGTTGTGTGTTTGTGGTTGTGTTTGTGGTTGTGGTTGTGTGTTTGTGGTTGTGATTGTGGTTGTGATTGATGTGTTTGCGGTTGTGTTTGTGGCTGTGTGTTTGTGATTGTGTTTGTGATTGTGTTTGTGGTTGTATGTTTGTGGTCGTGTGTTTGTGGTTGTGTGTTTGTGGTTGTGTTTGTGGTTGTGTGTTTGTGGTTCTGTGTTTGTGGATGTGTTTGCGGTTGTGTTTGTGGCTGTGTGTTTGTGATTGTGCTTGTGCTTGTGTGTTTGTGATTGTGCTTGTGTGCTGCGGTTGAGGTCCAGCAGGGAACACTGGGCGTGGATGGTCGTGGTTGAGGTCCGGCGGAGGAGGCGGAGGCGGAGAAGGAGAAGAAGAAGATGAGGCTAACATAAAATCTAATAACCCTCACCTGACAGGTGCGGAAAAAAAATCTAATTGAAAAGTTACTGTAAAGAGAAGTCAAAAGATAAGTCGAAAAAATAAACATATAAATATAAACTAGAAAACAACTCGAAAAAGGTCCAACAAAAAGTCAAATAAACGCCAAAAGAAGTTGTGAACAAATAGAAAGCAACTCAAAAATTACCAAAAAAGAAGGGTAAAATCAAACAAAACACGTCGAAAAAGTAAAAAGTAAAAAAAGAATCGAAATTAGAACACGACTATGTTGACTTTTTTGACTTTTTTAACAGGCTCTCTCCAGTTAGAGTTTTTGTAAGTTGTGGTATTACCAAACCATGGTAGCCTTTCAGGCATCGTGTTAGAACATTGTTCTCATCCACACTGATCAAAACAAATTGAAGAGTTTTCCAGAGGTCGCCTCAGAAGTCTTCTGACGCCAGTCAAACACCAGACTCGAACCCCTCGACTTCGTTCCCCGCAGCCCAGCGCCGTCGCCTCCCAATCGCCAGAGGTGCCCACATGCTTCAAGGCCGGCGCCATGTATGGGTTCCAGCTCCCCAGCCTAAAACGACACCGAATCCGAGCGAGGAACGTGGAATCCCCAAGAACCACGCACTCCAAAAAGACAAGTGATGCAAATAAAGTGTTTCAAGTGGCTCAAAGGAGCCTTCCTCAACGCGCAAAAGGTGAAAAAAGATGACTGGCTGGGTCTTAATTCTTTGTTCTGTTGGCAAGGCACTAGTTTGCTACAAAGGAAGTAAAGCATAGTTGTGTATGTTGCTGCCAGCCCACAGGTATTTCCAACCACTCCATTTCCAAGAGCCGCAGCCAAGGCACGACTCACCTTCACCACAAATCACCATCTGGCCCTTCAAGGCAGTGGGTACCTCAAAGGTGAGGGAGAAGAAAGAACAAATGCATCATTTAGCACCAACTGTCGCAAACAATGCGGCTGGAGGAAGAAACGGATGAAACTGATCAGTATATATATATATATATTATATATGTAGACATAGATCTTCTATCATCAAGCACTGCCTTTCTCACCGTGTCTCACACACAGAGCCACACATGCTGGGGCGCCCGAAAAAGGACTCTGAGGATTTGGTCAATTGGTCCAGGGTATTTGTCAGTGCGCCAGCTGATGACACGTCAACCACATTCCAAATTAGCACCCATTCCTTTCTGTCCGTTCAGGTTATTTTTAAGAGTTTGACTCAAGTGGGGCTCTTGCACCCTTATCTCAGAAAACCAAAAATAGTAAATTTTAAATGACTGAAAAATGAATGCAACCCCCCCCAGATCAACCTCTGGCAGGTTCGGGAGGCTTCAGACAGGTTCAGATGTTTCATTGTCTGTTTCACGTGTCACCTAATGGTTGAAGTTTGCAAAGCTTCCTGGAGTCCCCCAGCTGGCTCCGCCTTAAGGAGCTGCAGGCAGTCCAGGGAAGCACCAGATGCCCTCGATGAGCTGTACGCATAGCCTGCAGAGTTTCAACTGCAAACAGGAAAGCAAGAGTGTTACATCTTGACCATTGGTCTGAAGAGATAGGGCGGCTAGGTGTGTATGATTTTCTTCAGGTTCAAGGTGAACAGTTTTACGACTGGATTTAGGTATATCAAAGATGTGGCACATGCGGCTTCTTAGGGCATGATTCCTGTGTCACGACTGCGGTTTGAGCTGCCCCAGGAGATCCAACGATTCGCTAATTCACTGTGCAGAAATGATCAGCACTGCTGTGAAAGGGGTGACAGGTTGTGTGAGGCTGGATGCTCCTGACATCTGTCTCCCACAAATGCTGACAAGGAAAAAAAATCTGGAGAGTACAACGCCCTGGAGGTGTCTGTTTTTTTCAAAAAAACGATTTCAATAGATTTTCTATGTTTTCGTTGCATTCACCCATCTGGTACACATCACTTGTGCCCATAGCCTGCTGCCCCTTTGCCATGATCTTATCAACAGATTTCCTCATCAAGCTTTTAAACACATAGCTAAAGTCTGTATCTGTCAATTGCATCATAGCTGTCATCTTTGGAGGAATGATAGACTGTAGCTGATGGGCTGCATACATCACCTTGTATGTATCATCGCTAAATGAAGCAGCAAAGCAATCCCTCTGATAGATGGATACTGGATACATCCTCCCTTGCTTTGCAATGACCCATGACATAATGATATTGTCCTGATTGGAGGATGGTTGGGAATAAACATCATAGTGCTCCAACAAATGAGGATGACCCCTTCTGATCTTGACCCATTGCTCCAATGCCCTCCTGGTACTCTCTCCCTTCCTATGCAGCTTGATGTCTCCCAAATAGTTGATTGGTTCATCCTCAATCCACCTGCCTTTGTCATCAATGCTGTCCAATCTTGCATGTTGCCCAGGTACTATGAGCGCCCCCTTGCCCACATGTCCAATGGGGTCCTCATCAGGGTTGAAGAAATTGCTCACCAGCTGATGGGCCTCAAACGTAATCCTCATCTTCTCAGTTGCTGAGTCCGTCTTGATAGTCAAATGAGCTCTTCCCCCACCCTTTTGATCCTCAGTGGTCACCAATTGCCAATCTTGCTTCTTCTGATCATCCAATGCCTCAAGGTCCTCATTGGGTTCCTGTCTCATGGGCTTGTTGGTTCAGCTCATCTTGAAGGTCCCTCCAAACCTTTTTGATGGTCTTCCCATGTGTCCTGGTCTCATGGCCTGCAAATACAGCCTTAGTTGATCCCTTTTTCACCCATACAGGAACCTGATCTGAGAATCCAAGCGTACATTCAGGCTTTGCCACAAATTCCTTCAGATCTTCATGCCCCATGGACACAAGGCTCATGATATAGTCATGGTGGTTCCATCCCAATTCTGCTGAAATCTGCTGCTCCTCATTGCTCAAGGGCGCCAACACATTTGGAGTCATATGTTTGGCACCAATAGCATCCATAAGCATCTTGGCCCTCTTTTCCCTTTGCTTATACCCCTCTTTGATGCTCTTCATTTGGGATTCAGCCCTTTCCAATTGATTGATACAAAGAATCTTCTGGGGCCCATCTTCCAGCTCATCCCTTTTCTCCTCAAGCTTGACTTTCTCCACTGGTAGCAGCTGAAAATATTTCCATGCAAGATCCATCTTCTGCACCCCATGCCCATAACTCCTTTCCCTTTCCAACCATGTCTTAACCTCACCAACCAAGTGG